CGATGACGATGACGATGACGATGACGATGACGATGAAGAGGATGATGACGATGATGATAAGAAGAAGAATGACAATGACGAGCAAGATGGTGGTCGTGGTGGTTATGTAAAGATACTTAATGTTTGTTAATGAGATGTAGTCATGCTGTCGCCCATAAAAGGATGGGCAAAATGAGTGCGTTGTGAGAACTAAGTTAAGGGTCGGATGTCTATGACACGATCATGAGTGAGTGTGGCCTTGAGTGAGTGTGGCCATGAGTGAGTGAGGTCATGAGTGAGTAAGGCCATGAGTGAGTGTGGTCATGAGTGAGTAAGGCCATGAGTGAGTGAGGTCATGAATGAGTGAGGCCATGACTGAGTGAGGCCATGACTGAGTGAGGCCATGACTGAGTGAGGCCATGAGTGAGGGTGGCCATGAGCAAGTGTGACCATGAGCGAATGTGATCACGAGCGAGTGTGATCATGAGTAAGTGTGACCATGGGCTAGTGTGATCAGAGCAGGTGTGGCCACGAGCAAGTGTGAATATGGGCGAGTGTGATCATGAGCATGTGTGATCAAGGCGGAATGTATACCAAAAGAGTACATTGATTACAAGTACAGCAGCGGTTGAGTAATGGTACAATGATAGTGCATCAGGTCTATCGACCCTGTCGTTGGATTCCTGCGATACACCATCGTTCAAACTCCGCCTCTTCGAACCGTAGAAGGCTGGTGGTACCGCAATCGTTCACGGCAACGATTATATTCCTGCGTCTCGATTTAAGTGGTCCATAGACGGTGATGAGTCGGTCTTGCTGTCCACCGCGGTGTGCATGACGGCCTTTTGTCCTCCTCAACACTTAATAGCCAGGCGGAAGGTGTGTAAATAGAGTTGAGATGAAGCCCAGTAGGCTAACGAATTGTTGCCATATCCTCTCGATGGAACTGGTCTGTGAGAGGATGGCACTATCTTGAAATCGTTCCTGTACCTCTTTAGCCTGTCTTTGTGCTTGAGCTTCTCTCACGCCTCCCTCTCCATAACTCTCATTATTCCTCTTTCTCTGCTCTTCTGCTATCTTCCATACCCTTTGTTCTTCTTCATACATTTGGTCCGAAACTTGCGTTGGAAGTGAAAGTCCGCAAGCTTGTATGTCTCACGTCCATCACAGCTAACTGGTCTTCCCCGTATTCAACATTTAAGCATTGTGAAAGCTAGTTATACCGTCACCATCGTTTATTTCTACCTTTTTGGAGCCTTCTTCCTCAGTTCACCTCCAATTGGGAGAACATGTGTGATCCATTCCTACTGATAGATTGTCCGCACTTCCACCAATCTTCGTCTCTCTTCGTATTCGGTCACAGCAACATTGTATCTACCGCCATTGGAAGTCCATCTGACAGACATTGATTATCTTTTTGGACTTGTACATTGTGGGTTTGTCTTGAGATTTGGTCATGATGCAAAAATGAGCAAAGGTTGACCATTTCCGTATTTCTTTTGGGCTTTAATCATTCCCATCACCATCTTCAACAATGTTGAGGCTCGAAACGGTCATATTGACGAAAGAAGGCTTTCCGTGCTGCTGGGAAAGAAGGGGAGATAATCATTCATACAGCATCTCACAAAAGAGAATCCTCTACCATCTGTCGAATCTTTTGCAAGATACTTTCGTCCATCCATGGGAAATCACTCGCCCAGATTCAGGAGCATCAAGTTTAAGGATCGGAGTTAGATGGGCGACTTTTAAGAGGGGAGTAGCGTGTGAGGGGAAAAGGGGAAAGAGTGAAAGACCCTTGCCCTTCACCATCTGTCGAGCTTGTTGTACGATGCTTTCATCCAATCAAGGAAAAGATTGATGCTCAGAACGGAGTCAGATAGGCGTATTTTTACGAAGAACTGCGTGTGAAAGTGGGTGGTGGTGGTGGGATGAATATAAAAGAGGAATTCAATTATTTATACAAAAGGCGAACTTCTCTTGGGTACATATATTCTACAGACTTTTCATGAATCATACGACCATAAGCCAGCTGATATGATCACGATAAAATGGAATTCAGTAAGCGAATCTTATAGTAGTGATATGTCGAAGCTAATCCATTGGGTCAGATAGGAATACGCGCAATATATCATTTACACGTTGGACTGTAGAATTCACTTTCAAACTATGCTCTACCCGTCCATATAATTCAACAAATAATTTTTGCCCTTTCCATTGTATACACCATATATGCAGAACATACAAACAGTGTCTGTCAGATGGACTTCTAATAGCGGTGGATGCTATTTTTTAGTTACAAATTTGGAAAGCAAAGAGGATGTTTCTTATCACGAACCTTGTCATTTACAATTTGTCAGATCCCTTGGTTCTTATGGACCGTCCGTTGAACCTGATTTACCATCCGTTGAACATCATACACAGTCCGTAGGATTTGATGTCACGTCCGTTGGATTTGACGTGTCATCCGTTGAAAATGACTTATCATCCGTTGAACCTGATGTACCGTCCATTGAACTTGATGTAGCATCCGTCGTAATTGACTCATCATCCGTTGAAAATGATATACTGTTCGTTGAAAAGGATGTACCGTCCATTGGATTTGATGTACCGTCCGTTGGACCGATTTGCAACATCTACTTTGATATCAGGATAGCATCAGTAGTGCATCATCATGAAATTGCATAACAATGTACAAGCTTTTTCGTCTGACTACAAACATTTAAAGGGAGGCCTTTCTTGAAAGTTGAAAATCCCTCCCCCCCATTAATTCTTCCTTACACTCACCAATTCTCCTCTTACGTTCTGCTTCAACACCCACCAATTCTCCTCTTACGACTTGTCCACCACCACAACACAACCTCTTAAACCCACCGACTCTCCTCTTACGACTTGTCCACATCCATCACCACCACCACCACCACCACCACCACCTCTTACACCCACCAATTTTCCTCTTACGACTTGCTTCCACATCCACCACCACCACCTCTTACACCCACCAATTCTCCTCTTACGTTTTGCTTCAACACCCACCACCACAACCTTTCCGCTGTAGGCCCTTCAATCATTAAAACGAAAGCACCGCCGATAGGATGACGATAAAGAGGACGATGAAGATGTCGATGAAGAGGATGATGACGACGATGATAAGAAGAAGAATGACAATGACGAGCAAGATGGTGGTCGTGGTGGTTATGTAAAGATACTTAATGTTTGTTAATGAGATGTAGTCATGCT